GAACCCGCATCGCCACGTGTACGTCCTCCGACACCTGCTCGTCCATGGCCGCCACGTCCCCGACCACCAGCCCTGCGTCGCCTCCTGTCCGACTCCGCCACCCGACGCTCGGCTCCCATGCGGGAAATGGCGCGCGTCCTCTCTCTGGCGAGGCTCAACTTCTCCTCGGTCACCTTCGCCAGAACACCGGTGCCTCTGACGAGCTGCTGGTCCACGACTGCCTCGTCCTCCACGGCCTGCCAATAATGCACCCATTTCCCGAAGACGTCGGGCCTCTCTCCAACACCATCGTCGCTCAACGAAGGTCGATCGAGTAGCCTGAGGTTCCAGTGGCACCGCAGAAGCTTCTCAGCCCGGGGAACCTCGAACCTGTTGCGAGACTTCGAATGAATGAAGCTCCAACGAGACCACGCTCTCTCGCACGGTGAGGCGGTCGCCCATATACGAAGGATCCTGCCTGCAAACACGGCCTGAGAGGGAACTTCGCCTTCTTTGAGGACCAAAAACTGGCAGGGTGATCAAAGATATCCGCAGCTCGCCGCATGGTGAGCTCATCGAAAGGGGGCTCCCTCGTGTGGAGCTTGGCGAACGCTCGTTGGACCTCCTGGTGCTGCGGCGAATCCTCCGGGTAGCCGAACTGAACAAGGGCCTCGACCAAGGCCTGCTGCACCTCCGCATCGTCACAAAGCGTCGTGTCCCGGAACTCTGGATCTAGCAGCATGGCTGTTGTGTGGGCGGGGGTCTTGAACATGGTGCGCCGCCTGTGGAACACCTCCACAATAGCGTCCTGCTGCTCCCGATCAATGTCACGACATGCGGATAAACAAGATGCAATCATTTCCTCGTAACGTCGCAGAATCTTGCTGATCTGGCGTGTGTCGCTGTCCACCAACTTCAGCATGCCCATGATGGGCTCTAGCATCTTGCACAAAGCTCTCAAATCCTCCCACCATGGAGGGGAGCCGATACATGCAGTGACCTCCGCTGCATCCTTGCGGATCTTGCTGGTCGACCAAACAGTCTCGCGCCAGCGATCGTCGACCACAACATCTGTCAACGCGGCTCGCAGTGCCACCAGCCTCTCCATCATGATGACGTTCGTGCCGAAACGCGTCTCCGCCGGTAGCAGAAGAGTCTTCGTCGAGTGCGCCTCAAGAACCTCTCTCGCATGTCCATGGCGCTTGAAGAACCTTGTAACCAGCCTCGCTTGAGAAATGCGGGAAGCCACCCAATCAATCCCGCCGATGTCCTCGAGAATGAGATCCATGATGCGGGCGACGCAAGGAATCCAGAAGATGTGTTTCACGCTCTCATCTTTTTGGAATACCTCCATCGCCGCGACGTTCACCCCGGCGGAGTCCGTCACGAACGCCGTGATGTCGCTCAATTGAACATCCATGGACTTCACCCTTTTCAACCATGCGTTCGCGAGGGCACTGGCGTCCTTTTTGCCACGCATGACGTCGGTGGACACATACACCACTCCGATCTCTGTACCAACAAGGTAGTTGCACCACGTCTGACCACGGATGTTGGTCCAACCATCGGTCATGATTGTGCAACCGGTCTCTCTCGACGTGTCAAGCACCGACCGAACACACTTCTGGACCTCACCATCCAGCTCGTCCAAAAGGGTCGTGCGCAGCATGTGGTACGAGGGAAGTCTAGGCGCGGGCGCCCCTGGAACCCCCGGCGGAATTATCATCGTGAACATGCATTTGAAGCTTTCAAGCTTCGTGCTGTTGAACGGCATCCCGCTCTCGACGATGAACCGCATGATTTGCAGATGCCATGCGCGCTCCAAAGGGTCCGAATAATATGACGTGACGGCTTGCTTCCTGTAAGTGCCCCGACATCGTCCCGTCGTAGCTCTCCCGCCGAGGACCCCAGCATCCAACAACCCGCCAGGGCTCACAGGTGTCGCGCTTTGGGCGACTGCAAGGTCACGAATGCGCTGCAAAGGGTCTAACGTTCCGGTCAACACGGGTGGAGGTTGTGGGGCAGACCGACCACCACCCCTGGTTGTCGGAACAGGGGTCGGCGATGAATCGGACACCGGAGTGGGGACCTCCTCGGCAGGCACCCCATGATCCACCTGTTCCCCGAAACGAGGCACGGAAGCAGAATGTCGAGCATCTGCAGGTGCGTGTGACGGATCCGGGTGGGCGGTTCCGTGAGCGTGGTGGACCATTGGACGCTGCGCCGCTCTCGACGGTGGCGGTGGCAGCCAGGGGTGCTCCAACGAACTGCGGGGTGATGCGCCAGGTGCCACCGCAGTACCACCCCGTGCGGCATCTGACTGCCTAGCACTCCTGAAAACAGGGGCGAGCGCGGGCGCTGAACTGCCAGCACTCCCCCCCACCTGCGACTCTCAATAAATGCACATGTGCTCTCCTCATCAAATGCTGCAGAGCCCACACCATCCCTCAGAGGCGGGGGCTCGTTGGCTGGCGTGGAACGACCAACTCCCACATCGCGAGCACCTCGTGTCCCAGCCAGCGGCGCAGACGGCGGGGCTGCCGGTCGTGTTGCAACTGTTGTTGCAGGACGCGGTACCGTGACTCGAATGGCCGGATCCCCAGAATTGGGCGATGCGACAGCTCCAGAAGGGGCGGTGGGAGGAACCAGCGGCGGCACTGCGTCCTCGGGGAATCAAAGAGGTGGCCACTGCAAACTCGGATGACCTGGCAAGTGGCTCTGCAACGTTTCTATGGCTGATGCGAACTCCTTTGGACATTTTGTCATGTCCTTCGACCAGATCGCATTCCACACAGCAGGAGTGGCTGCCTCACATCGAAACTTCTCGCTCTTCGAGAAGTGCTCCCTGGCGGCTTTAGCGCCCCCACAAATCGAACGCCCGCACAACCTGCACAGGCATCGACGATCGCTCTTCCTGCCCGCCGCCGTCGACCCATCCAAATAACGCCCTCTGGCCACGAAATGCTACACCGGGTCGTCCCGCTTGCCGTCGACTGTCGGGTCGACCTTGAATGGTGAGTCAAACGTCTTCGTGTTATGACCTTGTCGGGCGGTCGTGAGCAAGTCTGACGGATCCTTCCCCCGGTCCTGCGACATGATGAAAGTCGCCAACCGCGAAAAAAAAAGACGATGTCGGAACCCTCTGAGAATGTTGCCAACTCGCAACAGAGATCGAAGTCAGCGTCAGAGCGGCAAATAAATGCTATGAAACAGGCAAAAACGATGAACGCAAAGTGCAGAACACCTGGACATCAGAAGGAAAACACAAGACGACATGAAACAAAAAAACAAACAACCAAAGAACAAAAAAAAAAACTCAGAACTCGGAGGCAAAAAAAAAACAACGCCAATGTTCTCTGTCCCTTGTCAAAAAAACGACAATGTTCTCCGCAAGGCAACCGTTCCACAGGCGGAACTTCCGATTCCAGGAGGGCGATCCCACTAGCCACGTATGTGGAACAGTGTGACTGGTGTGGGACGGCTGGGGGACAGGCGGGTGGTAGAGGGAAAGAGGGAAAATCAACGGAAAAAAAAAAGGGCAAGATTAACTCCACACACCGTTTGCTAACTCCACACACCAACAAGAGAGAGAGAGAGAGAGAGAGAGAGAGAGAGA